TTGGCTCTTGTATTGCAAGGAGCGTGTTTCGCTAACTTTCATTTAGGACACAATAGCGCATTTTCAAACATCTGCCGAACACGGTCTACCCTCATCAGCTCTCCCCCTACTTCGAGATGAGCACGGGTACAATGAATTCTCTGTCGAAGCCCCAGAACATCTCGTCATAAAATTCATCAAAACCATTTACGAATCACCCCTCAATTTACTCCTCCTCGGCAGCGCACTCGTGAGCGCTATTATGGGTAACATTGATGACGCGGTTTCCATCACTATTGCAATCCTTATCGTCTTGACCGTCGGATTCATCCAAGAACAACGATCAGAAAAGTCGCTCGAGGCACTAAACAAGCTCGTACCCCACCACTGTCATCTTATTCGTGACGGTCGAAAATCCCACACGCTAGCCAACGAATTGTTACCCGGTGATCTCGTCACATTTGGCGTGGGTGATCGTATTCCGGCTGATTTGAGGATCATCCAAGCGACCGCACTCGAAGTGGACGAGAGCAGTTTGACGGGCGAGACCGTGCCCGCGGCCAAAACGTCGTCGCCTTGCCCTACTGGGACGGTCGTTCCGTTGGCAGAGAGGGCGTCGATTGCGTTCATGGGAACATTGGTGAGGAACGGGCATGGGTCGGGAGTAGTGATCGCGACCGGTACCCAAACGGAATTTGGTGTCATTTTCTCCATGATGCAAGATGTCGAGGAGAAGAAGACGCCACTCCAGCTGGCCATGGATGAGCTCGCAAAAAAGTTGAGCTTTGTGAGCTTTGGAATTATCGGCGTCATTTGTGTTATTGGTGTTCTCCAAAGTCGTGGGTGGCTGGAAATGTTTACCATCGGAGGCAAGTTTCGATCTTTTTTATGGCTAACTTTTTGGACTGACCCCTGTATAGTTTCTTTGGCAGTCGCTGCTATTCCGGAAGGATTACCCATCGTCACCACTGTCACCTTGGCATTAGGAGTGCTGCGGATGTCGCGTAAAAAGGCCATTGTTAAAAAACTTCCGAGCGTTGAAGCCCTTGGTTGCGTCAATGTGATCTGCTCAGACAAGACGGGAACTCTAACAAAGAACGAGTTGACTGTCACCGAGCTTTACACTGTTGACGAACTGAAGCAGCTACAAGTAGGCGTCGCTCATCACGGCAGGATCTCCGAGGCCTTGCGGAAAACGATTGCGGTCGGAAACATTTGTAACAATGCGTTCAAGAATGCTGCAGGTACTACTGTTGGTCAATCCACAGATATCGCCCTGGTAGAGGTCGTAAGCACGTTTGGATTGCAAGATTCACGAGACGGCTTTACGAGGATAGCAGAGCAACCGTTCAACTCGGAATTCAAGTATATGGCCGTGAGCGGTACACACCCACCCGAAACGCGTTCTGTTGTCTACTTTAAAGGTGCTATTGAAGCTATTTTGGAGCGATGTCGATTTTACTATGTCTCTGACGAGTCTACGCCGGGTCTGGACGCCTCTATCCGGGGCACGATCTTGTCAAGGGCACAGGCGTCCGCTTCTCGAGGATTGAGAGTGATCGCCATGGCCTATGGATATGGTACCATTGACCCATCACAACCCGTCACCCTCAATAATCTGGTATTTGTCGGATTCCAAGCGATGCACGACCCTCCACGACCGGGCGTTTCTGAAGCGATCAACGAGCTACAT